GGCCGCATTCTTTGGCCGTTCACTCCTGCTTTTATCTAATTCATGAATAGCGATGTGACAGATTTATCAATAGCAATGATCTGTCAATCAGTAGGTATTTAACACAGCTCGGACATCCATAAGTTGGATCGAATGCGTGTTTAGTGCGTGGTCGTCACTGAAATATGTAGTTGAGCTAAGCTTAGACCCAATTTCACATGTATCCTATTATGCGCTAGTGCTGGCGTTTCCTAGGCATAACCATCGACGTTACCACTGTAATTCCACTGTCGTTACCCGAGGCTCTAGACGGGGCCCCGCGGCCTCTGAGCCACAATGGCTCGGCCCGCCCGCTGAGCAGGTGCTTCCTTTTCAGGCCGCGTTTTGACGGCACGATCTGTCGGGATGAGCGGCCGGCGCTCACAGCTGAGTAGCCCGCCCCTCGCCCGGCCCGTCCGGCCCCGCCGGCTAGGCTGGCCGCTGGGGCCGGGCGGCGGCGGGCGCGTGCGCGGGCGCCGGCCGGCGCGGCCGCCGTCCGTCCGCCTCCCATTGCCAGTGAGCGGCGGCCCGGGGTCGGATCGGCAGCCGCACAGACGCCGTCAGCGCGCCGGCGGCCCACACACGGATCCCAGCAGGTGAGACCGGCCACTGCCCGCGGCTGTGTGTGTGTGTGTGTGTTGGACGCCACAGCAGCTCCCCGTCAGTCCGGCGCCCTCAGCGGCCCGCAGACGACCGCACCACGCCGCCTGTATCGACGCCCGGGCGGCGCCGTCAAATATTTATGCCGACGCGGTCAGGGCATGCGCGACCTGTCGTAGAGGTCACCGAGACAGAGGACATCTTCCGTTGGGGCGCGACGGTGCCGTCCTCGGCCGCCGGCGCAGACGCCCGAGGGGTGTTCACGGGCACCGCACACTGCTGCGTGCGCTGTGTGCGGTGCGTCCAGCAGGCGTGGGGGTAGGGGATGGGTAGGCGGTTCTGACGTCACGGCTGCGTGCGGTGGACGGTCCGCTGTGGCCAGTCCCGACCGGCCACAGCGATCGCTGTGTGCGGTGACGGAAGGCTGACGTAGGGACGCAGTGGGCGGAGCTTGGAGGCTGTGTGCGGTCCAACCGCACACAGGGCCCGTGAACAGCCCTCCGGTGTCCGGACTCGTCCGCTGGCTGTTTTCCTGATGGTGACGATGGGGGGCGGCGCCGACTGGGGGCTGGGCGCCGCGGCGGCTGTGGGGGGGGGGGGGGAGGGCACTGGGTCAGCGTCACGGGCAGCTGGCAACAGACACGGCTGGTAGCCGGGCCGGGCCGGCAGCAGCGGCCAGCGCGCGGCCAGCGGAGCTGAGCGCAGAGGTGACTTTGACGGCAGCGCGCCGCTGTGGGGGAAGCTTACGGCGGCCCGACGAAAGCTGTCCGCTCTCGCGCTCCGTGCGGCGTCATTTTTCGGATTTGGGGGATAACGACCGCCGACTGGGAGCCGTCGCCGGCCCGGCTCGGCCCGCAGACCGGTATGGCGGACGACGGGAGACCGCTCACAGATAAGCTTATGAGGTGCACGCGTCCCCGATATGCGCCCATATTAGGAGCACAGGTTTGAGAGCCATCTCGACCCGCCCTCGCTCTTTTGTGCTCCCTTCGTCGTCACCAGTTCTATTTGTGGGCCCACTCCTTCCAAAAGCGATGATGCTGTCCGATGAGCGATCTCCAACACGCAGCCCATGCTTTTTAAGCGCCATGTCGTCTCGCGTCGTCCTCGTTTCAATAGCGCCAGGGGCTGCCGGGGGCCGCGTGTACAGACGATAAGATAGTCGGACGGGCAGGCGGCGGGCGGCGGCGACGGGCCAATACGTCATCATGGGCCCCGTCACGCTCGGTGACCCATTTCTCAGTAGGTGAAACCTGTTCTGCGGGGTTCCGGCCGGTCGGGTGGTGTGAATGGGCCGTCTGCAGCGATGCCTCTGCCGCCGCCGCCGCCGCCGCCGCCGCCGCCACCGCCTCCGCCCACGGGCCGGCGACGTCCGGAGAGAACCCTCTCAAGGCCAACTGGTGGCTCTCTCGGCGCCGCACAAACTTACATGGATTCCGCAACTGTCTCGAAAAATGCGCCTCACACGAGCTCCCGCTCAGAGGTGGATGGAATGCACTGCAGTTTTCACTCGGCTACCCGTGTCAGCGCGACATGATCTGCAGATGGAGAGCATACCTACGTATTGCTGCTACTGCTGCTGTTGCTGCTCCTTTTAAGGTCGTAAATTTATGTGAACTTGTGTGATCGGTGATTCAACGCAATGCCATGACTGGGCAAAAATGATATAATTTTTCTTAGACTCGCTAAGCTTTCGGGGTTATGTTCAAGCAAAAAGGAAAATCCCATAGCGTGCATTGCTGGAGGCTCAAATAAGAAATATTTGCATGCAATGCCTGTACCGGCGGCAGTTGGCAACAGTGAGATTGAATGAGCTTTTCAAGAAAAGTTTCCATTCTTTTGTATTCATGTGGTACGAACTAATGTTCCCTTTAATATGGCACGGTGAAATCCAGCCAACCCTACTCCGTAGCCCGGCTGTCTTTTGTCATGATTCGCAGTTTATTCGTACCCCGCTGAAATGCTAGAAACAACCATCAAAATGTGGCGAGAATGTTTGACTTCACAGCATGAATTCCAAACACTGCATGTTTTTGTTGGAAGTGTTCAGGACCTCGCACTTCAAAGGATTGCGAGCAGCATCATTCTCTTCTGTTTATTTTTCTGTGCTGAATTTTGTCATTCCATGTTGTTGCCAGCAATGCTCAGCTGCATCTATACTGTCTTATGCCATGTTGTGGCCGCCCGTGTGTCAATCTCGACGAACTGTTTGTCCTAAGTTTTTTTTTTGTGCTCCAGGTCCATGCTCATGATATCAGTTTGGAAATTGACTGGTTTGAGAGATGAGACATCCCAAAGTGTTTGTAACTGTTCGCAAATTTTGTATGCGCAAGCCTGCTTACCTTTATTTTGCCATCACCGTTACCTGTCTGTCAGTAGTAGCCTTTACTCCGGCATTGAGATAGACGTTCCTAGGCTGATCGTCTTTGATGTCGGAATCACATCATACGGTGTGTCAGATCAGAGGGTTCGCTCAGGCTTGCCAAGTTAACAGATAATAACCCAGATTGAGCGTGGATATTGGTGTCAAGAGCGATATGATTGACCTTTAAAATGTCTACTCAGCATCTGCATGACACATTAAAGTAAATTCAGATTCCTTGTCTTCGCGAAATAGTTTCGCCGGTATTTTATTTACCCGCTCGATTTATCATGTCTATTTTGCGTACTATACGATGCCTTCCACGGTGCTGAGAGCACGATCTCAGTAGGTACTCTTGTTCATTCGTTCCTTCATTCGTTCGTGCGTTCAAAGTCGTTCATTCCGTTCGTATCATCCACCCCCTTCTTGTTCAATTTGCCTGCCTCAGAAGCCGATGAGAACATGTGACGGGCCCAACACCCACCGCAGCTCGGTCGTGGCTGGCCGGCTTTACCCTGTCCGGCTTCGTTAGACGTAAGCCCCGGCCTTCAGATATGATCTGGCTGGCTCACAGCCTTCTGTGTTGGCAAAGGAGCCGTGAGCGTGTCACTACAGAGCACGCTGATACAGCCTGACAACTGCAGAAGGCGGAGTGACAAGGCTGGGGACAGAGGAATCGCGGGATTTCAGTCAGGGGATTTTGAAACGAGGAAGCACTGCGGCGTATCGATTGCAAAAGTATCGAGGCGTTGCTCGTTGACCTGTAGATATGATATTTGTTTCTGAATTGTATTTAGAGATGTGTTGCCGTTTGGTTTGAATGGTGACTGAAGCAGTAGTACGGCCGATTTTTTTTTTTATTCATTGGTGCTTAGTGGCTTCCATCCACCTTATAACACACAAAAAACATCTTTACACATTAACATCTTTAGAGATGCACAAAAACACACAATGCAAATGTACAATTCGACATCGCGGCTTAATAATAATTTCAATTTTTTATCTGATTTTATCCCTGTTGAAATTAGCATCAAACAGAGCAGAATGACATCGTCTTTTCCAATGTACGACATCCGTTCCTCTTAAATCACATCCATAATTTTAACAATGTGCAGACGCAGTTACCCATCACGTCATATTACGACTTAACGACGCCCATCCATCAACAGCGATAAGAATGACAAACGAAAATAGCTCGGAGCTGCTGATGAGGCAGGCCTGGTCTGAACGATGGGACATAAATTCCTCACCCAGTTGATTGCCAGTTTATTTTTCAACATTGATTGCAATGTTTCTTCTACAGCTAAGTCAATATCAGCGCTAATTTGAATGCTGTCCTCCAGTGTTTGTCTCTCTGACATGGTTACATCATTCCTCTGGAGATTCCGTGGGTATTCAATATTGGAGATTCTCCGCGCTGCCCTCATCCTTTGACCAATACCCACTTTAAATGTCGAAAGGTAGCCAGAACGAGATCACACGATTTTTTTTTATCTAGTTCCAGCTTGGGCATCCACTTCGGTTGAAATGGAATATTTTGGAAAGTTGGTCAAATTTTGTCAGTTCTCTTGAGGGATGCATACCCCTTCACAACCAGTGCCCACTTATCGACTCTACCGGGCTCTGAGTTCCGTTCCAGCCACCGGTCCGGATCCCGACGAGGAGTCTGGCCGTGCCCTCCCCTCCCCCTCCTCCCATGATCCGGTCCCCGACTCGGGTCGTCTCTCACGGTTCCCACGGCCGGCAGACAGGCTGCCGTCGCTCCCGACAGAGGGCGCGCCGTCGCTCTCGACGCGCGACTATTTTCAGCACCGCCGCCCGTCGCGTCGGCCCCGAATAGACGCCCCCTCGACGTCGGGGGCGGCACACCGGCCCCGGCCCGGGCCGACCCGTGCGTACCGACTCGAGCGGCCGGCGCGGCTAATTTTGGCTCCAGACGGCCACGTAACCAACTGGGCGAGGCGCGCGGAGGACCGCCACCGGCGAGCGCCGGTAGCCGGCCGCGTCCGGCGCGCAGTGTCCGACCAACCGCCGCGTTGCGCGTGCTGCTCTGCGTCGTGTGAGTCTGCTCTGGTGAGCTCGTGGTGCGGGAACCAACAGGTGGTGATTGGTGTCAATTCCGGTTGGATGGGTCGAAGAATTGTCGAGGAGTGCTCAGATCGTATAGCGCGTTGGTGATTGAGGTGAACGGGAGTGGATGCGCTGAAAGTGAGACGACCTCCGATCACTACGTCACCCTCGTGAATCTCTCCTGGTAAGAGGTGCTCTGTCAACCACGTCTAGAATCCGCTCTTATTAGAAGCGACAATTATCACCGCAAAACACCTCTTATGTGCCCTCATGCATGTGATTCGTGCCAAAGACGTCAGTCCGTCGTGGGGTGGGTTTAAAGAGCTCATATGCTGCCGTACTCGGGACGTCAGAGGCAGACCGCAGTCACGTCTGAGCCTGCCTCCTGTCCGTGTCTCTGCGGCTTGCGTCGTGATCGGATTCCGTCACGACTGCTGCGGATCACGCGTGTCGTGACGCCCGACTTTCTGTCCTCTGAGAGCGGCCGGCTCTGTCCAGGCCGGCGCGGCACCAGTGGCGGCGGCGGCAGCTGCCGACCCGCCGCGGGCCAGAACTATTTCCAGACGGCCAGCCGGCTGTTATTATTTGCTACCCGCTGGCAGGCTGTGCTGCAACTGGCCGCCGCCGCCGCTGTCGGGAGTCCAGCCGAGTCCATGATTCCAGCGGCGTCCAGCGGCGCCAGACGACAGAGGCTGAAAGTCGGTCGGACGACGTCGGCAGCGGCGTCTGACAGTTCCGCGAGGGGCTGGACCGGTGCCGGCTCTCCGGCGCGGCCGTCCAGCCAAAGCTCAGACGGAAGGCCGGGAGCGAATCAGTGGGTGTTCTCAACAGGTGACCCTGTTGTAGGTTCAGTATCAGTCTATTTGTGCTGGAAATGCCGCACCGCAGAGTATCTGACGTCGCCAAAAACGGCTTGCTTGCGCCTTTTCGAAGGACCATAAATCTCTGAGGAGGCTGGAGTACATACGTGTTGAAGTTCAGTCTGTCCCCTGATGCGCACTCTTTCCATTTCGTGCCTTGTAAGTGATCAGCTTGGGCTGTTCTGTCGACGGTGGCTATTGATTCTCGAGTTTGGGAAGGATGTACTGCATTATACCACCTCCGCAAAGATTAAGCTCAGTAAAATAACGAAATAAAAGAAGACTAGCACTCAATCAACTGAAGCTCGGTGGGCAGTTGGTGTGAGCGTGCAGAGTGAGATGTGCTGTAGCCATTTGAACCAGCGGTGTGACACCAATCCGACGGCAGCTAATCCAGCAGTCACGCCTCGGTGCCGACCCTCCGCTGGGAGTCCGACTGTCACCTCGCTGCCGATCCTCTGAGTGGGAGCCCGACTGTCACCTCGCTGCCGATCCTCCGCTGGGAGCCCGACTGTCACCTCGCTGCCGATCCTCCGCTGGGAGCCCGACTGTCACCTCGCTGCCGATCCTCCGCTGGGAGCCCGACTGTCACCTCGCTGCCGATCCTCCGCTGGGAGCCCGACTGTCACCTCGCTGCCGGTCCTCCGCTGGGAGCCCGACTGTCACCTCGCTGCCGATCCTCTGAGCGGGAGACCGACTGTCACCTCGCTGCCGATCCTCCGCTGGGAGCCCGACTGTCACCTCGCTGCCGATCCTCTGAGTGGGAGACCGACTGTCACCTCGCTGCCGATCCTCCGCTGGGAGCCCGACTGTCTCCTCGCTGCCGATTCTCCGCTGGGAGGCCGACTGTCACCTGTGTGAGCGGGCCGGCGCTGCTAGTCAGAGGACGTGCGAACCTTCTGCTTATATGATAACCCGATCCTCCGCAATGTAGCGATCGCCACTCTGTGAAGGGCTCTCTGCTGTGAGCCGGACACGACTTGTAGTCGATTCGGTTGTGTCAATCCATTCCACTTGTGTTGGATGATGGCTCGTCTCTCCTGTGCGCCTGATTAGTGTGTGCCTCAAACTCCGGATCGTTTCGCCGACGTTCTCTCTTGGTCCGCCGCGGAGTGGCGACTGACGGTCCATCGGCGCCTCGGGGGCCGGTCACTGGTCACCCCGTCCGACTGGCCACTGGCCGGCGGTCAGCGGGCGCCGGGCCAGGACCGCGCCGCCGCCGCCGGCTGTCGTCTCTGAGCGGTGCCAGAGCGGCCACTCTGGGGGCTCGAACAGTGCGTGCTCGCCGTCAGTGCTGACGCGGCACCGGCCCGGCGCTCCTCTCTGCCGGAGCCGGCCGTGCGGCCGGCGGACAGGCTTTGTTTTCAGCCGTCAGACGGCGCACTGCGCCAGCACGGGTCATTCATTTCTGTGGCGTTCTTGGGGCTCGACTTGTGGCGTAAAAACCGATGACGAAATTGAGATGTTTGACTCATGTTGACCATTCTCAAGTTTTAAAACTTTATTTATTTTTTCGTAATCATTGATTCAGACATTGCCAAACATTTATGGCATCTGAATAACTTTCTCGGCCCTCCCGCAAAAATGTTATTCGTCATTCGTTCGATTAAGCATAAACAGAATACCAGTAGACCAGAAGAGAGCGATGTCTGGATCGTCTTGTCTCTATCAGAGAACTACCTAACTACCCTCAGGGATAAGGCACACATCTGCAAGTGGCATCTACTCCATATCAAAATTGGTGAGGGAAATATGCACAGTGCGGAGTGAAAGAGGGGCTGGAGCGGGCTGCCAATGAAAATCGCTGCTCTGACGTGGACCAGTTTACAATGGCGGCCGGGTCAACAGTGGCGTTTTCAGCTGCAGGAAACGGCCTGGCACGGGCCGCCGCGGTCGCCCGTGTCGCGTCCCTTCCGCCGAGCGACCGTCCGTGATCCCTCAGCTCTGCTGTCCTTGCGCAGCGGCTATCCGTGAGTCATGCGTGTGGGGATCATCGATTGTCTTATTATTGGTATGATGCTTTGATTCGTCGCTTATCGTAATGCGACAGAAGGGCTGTGCGAAGACTGTATTGATTTCACATTTTGTTGTGCTTTTGTTGCACGCTTGCAGTTTGCAGTAATGTATCGGGTGGCGTGTTCAGTGCTATATCTTTGTCCGGAAAATCGGTTTAAATTATGGAACATAAGAAAAATATTTTCGTTATTTATATGACCAGACTATGCCAGTGAAGGTATATTTGATCGTGCGTTTCCATTGTAGGTACTCAAATGTATCATGTATCTTTAAAACGGTACTTTGATGAGACTGAACTATGAAGAAATGTCTCGAGCTTATGCCCAATGAACTGGGATCATGCCAGTAGTCCCTGGGTGGCCCCGCCGCACAGTCCTCCGTTTTATACCGTCTGAACTCGGTAAAAGCGCCGCAACAATTGACTTCCTGTAGCCGGCTCAGACCGGCACTATAAACACGCTGAACTGGTCAGGAAGCTCCCGAGCAGCCCGCAGCTCAAACATCGTCCCGTTTATTGACATTCCCGAAACATTCCCGATTTGTGGCGGAACCACTACCAGGAACCCTTCTCTTCCGACGGCTACTGCCGGAGCCCGCGGCCTGACGAGCCGCCCCAGACGAGCGAGCCGCCTGTAACGAACGAACCCTCACTGAGTCACCACTCCGTGGCCCAATCCCCGCCGGGTCTGAAACGTAAACAGAGCGCCGCGCAGCGTCAGCCGCGCCGGAATTGTAAACAGCTCGGCGGAGGAGGGCGCCGGTCACAGTGGTCGTGCCGGGCACTTGGCACGCTCCGGTTCCGGTCACTTTAACCGGGACGGTAGCTGTGGAAATTAGGCACTTTTTGAACCGTGAGAGGATTGGTATCTGCCCTGAAGGGCGCCTCGATGGAGGGATCTATGTGGAAGCTGGATGGAAGCACCTTCTTTGATGCACAATGGCTGACATGTCTTGGTGATGCCCTGCAATAGTCTATACCAGTGGTAATGTGTAAAGATTGAATATTGAACTGCATCGACTGTTCGGCGGAGGTTGGATAAGACCCAGTTGACAGGAGGTTGCGAATGAGTTGGAAGGGAACGCTGAGGTCTTAGGATAGATCTGAGACAGCCATTGGCCGCCAGCAGCATTGTTTATGTCCTGCTATTGCTGCAACGTTATAGTGGGGACTACTGAGTCGCTCGATGGTCTTATTGGACAACCCAACGTTACGGGTGTTTTTGTGTTGGATGCTGTTACTTATAAATATTGATGCTTGACGCCACAAACTGAGATGAAATAATATCCCATCCGGAGAAGTACCCACTAACGTTCCGTGAAGCCCGTGTGTGCTGTCTGCGGCAGCCTTTGTCCGTTCCTGACACATGAAGTCAGCGCCGCTGGGGCCGGCCGGGGGCGGGGGCGGCGGGTCCACCCACCGACCGTGGCGGCTCCACAGTGGCGGCACCCCCCGCCCCCGCCCCCCGGCGCCCGGCCCGGGGTCTGGACGCCCCTCCCCCGCTATCACGGCCAGGGGGCCGTCAGCACGGCCTCGGTCGGCACATGGGCGTCGGTGGCACCGCAGGGGAGGGGAGGAGGAGGGGCTGCAGTGGCGTCGGTCAACATTGCACCTCTGAAGCGGGCGGCGGTGGTGGTGGGCGGTCACAGGCGCCGATTGCGCACCGTCCAGACGCACACCCGGCTCTGGCCGTCTGACCCGTGTTGACTGTATGTAAGGTGAATCACGGCTCCAGTGAATGCCAGCATTGGAGGGGAGCACTGCGCAGCGTGAGTTCGCCGGCGCTGAGCGCTGCCGCACTGGCTGCAATATGCAGAGCATATTGGGGCGAATCGTTTACCCACTGGAAAAAATGTCAGTGGTATGCGCAGTAGCTTGAACTTCAAACTTGCATAAGCTGAATCATTTCTCTGATATTCGGATTAAGCACGTGAATGGTAATTGGTAGACATAATTATCTTGATAACCTACGTGAGTCGCCAATTCGCCAGCAGTTTGATCATTGAGGTGTGTGTGTGTGTGGGGGGGGGGGGGGCATTGCTAATGTATATTTTGATATAAAGATAAATAGAAAACGACGTTTTTTGAATTGTGTATTTGAATATATCGTCGTTTTATAACATATGTATGTAACATATATTATGTAACATATATATCACCCAAAGGGTAATTCTGTATGCGAATAGGTTGGCTGTTGTCCCCGGCGCTGGTGTTTGGGGTACGTCGGAGCGGCGTTGCGTCATCATTGACAGTGAACCAACACGGCCCACGCGACTGTCCATCACCGCGGCTGGCTAATCACAACCTTTTCCTGGCCAGTCCCGACCCCGCTGACCCCATCTGGCGGTCTGGCCCCACCAGTGCAGGCCGGCCCGGTCTCCCAGTGACAGGCCTGGCCCCACCAGTGACCGGCCCGGCCCCCCAGTAGCAGGTCTGGTGCCCACAGTGACCGGCCTGCCCCCCCCCCCCCCAGTGGCTGGCTCTGCCCCCCCAGTGGCCGGCCCGGCCCCCCAGTGGCTGGCTCTGCCCCTCAGTGGCCTGTCCGGCCCCACCAATGACCGGTCTGTCCCTATTGTGGCCGGCCCGCTCCCCCAGTACCGTGCAGGCCACTCCGTGCCGGTAGCCCCAGTCACGGCGCCGCGCCGAGTCATACCGGAACTGACCCCGGGCCGGGCCCCTGAGCGGGCACCGTGTCCCCGGCACGTGCCGTGGGGTAGGGGGAGGTGGCACCGCCCCTCACGGATGCTGAACACGCACGGTGTGTGGCATGCTCGATACGGGCGACCGATAGGGCTATCACTCCTGATTGCGCCCTCACTGGACAGTTTATTGCACTCGGTGACGTGAAATGAAGAATCCCACCGGTTACCTACCAGATTGGCCGACCCTAAAAGCCGCGCCGGGATTACAGGGACAGGCGAGTTTTATCATGTGAATCTGGCCTGTAGTAGGTACCTAGGTCGGTGTTATTCATTTTGAAGAGGTAAATTAATGCATGCGCATACCTATTGCAATTAGGAATTTGTGACTAGAAAAATCGAGATTGGTGATGATGTAAAATTCTTACCGTAAAACTAATAGAGTCGGATGCGAGAACCCCATCACCGTTGTCCGACCAACTCTGGGCGGGCCACGGGGAAAGGGGCGCCGTCCCGCCGTTTGACCTTGTCTGGCCTGTGCCGGCGAGTCGTCCCATTGTCACAGAGTGGGAACATCCGGGACCTCGTGTCGTCAGCCCGATATCCGGGGACGAATAGAGCTGTCCAGTCACCGGGGAATCTCACCTCAGGGTAGGCGTCCACTGCAGTCGGTTACTGAAGGGTTACAGGTGCCATGGGGGACGGGGCGGACCTCACGTCCGGACAGAAGGGGCGTGCCGTCGGCTGCCATAGTCCTAGGAACGGTGGAGGGTGGAGTGGAGGGGGCCTCATGGTTGAATTTCGGTTAGCTCACAGTTCACACTGTGACAGCCGTCAGGGGCACCGCTGATTCCTCAAAATGTTTTGGTACATGATGATGCAACGTGACACGGGAAAAAGACAGTGGGTGTCGAGACTTGAGAATAAGTGTGACAAATAGTGTTCATCGGAAGTGCTCACGAACTGATGCCACTTACTGTACGAGTGTTGCCATGGAAGCCAATCAATTAAGCCATGGTGCAGGTGATATGTTACCGATCCGTTCGCCTCGGGTCTGTTACCGAAACTTCTAAGGATCCGTTCGTCTCGGGTCTGGCGGATGTCCGCCCTTTCATTCCGTCGCTGCTGGGACACTTATGAGGCCATTGTACCGTGTGTACCCTGCCACCATGGCGACACACGTCTAAAAGCTGATGGATGTTGTCTCTGCCGGATCCTGTGGTCCCTTCCCGTCTCCTCTGGTCCCCTCGCTGGCCCCCGGATGGTCCGCGGTCGCTCGGTCCGAGTGGACCACCGCGCCGGCGCAAACTCTTCGGGATCCGTGACGGCTGAGGCCAACTGTTGGCCCGGCTGGGAGCCCCTGCCAAAGTCAATAGGCTGTCTGCGCTCAACAGCAGCGACTGGGCGTCCGATACGGCGCGCTCGGAAATACCTCGTGTTTCATCAGCCGGCTCCTGGAACAGACCGGCCGCCGATACCGTCCCGGCGCGCGGCGTCAATTAACGTGCCACCACCGATAGCCCGCCCGGTGTCGTCGGCGGGGGGAGGGGGACAGGGCTTGTGTTCGGTAGGAAGTTGAGATGATAGTCCCGGGATGACTGATGGGTCTTTACGTCTCTACCGAAGGCGGGTTGATGTTATCCAGTTTCAGTTTCTTGTGGTGCTCTGCAGGAATATACAGAGTGTTTGATGGAGCGTCATCACCGCCAATATTTGAAATATTATCATCGGCGACCGCCAGCGGCCGGCCAAAGCTGCCAAACTCTGGTCATTTATCAGCAGCGGCTGATGTAGCTGCGCGGCCGCCGGAAGGGCGGCCTCTCCGGCGGTCTCTCGCGCGGCGGCGCTCCGCCACCCCATGAGCACCGATCAATGTACGGGGCCGCCGGGCGTGCACCGTGCAGACGTCGGCAGGTCGGCGGGTGGGCCGCCGCCACGCCGCCGAATTCCGCAGAGCTCAGTGGGCCGGGCGAAATCGGGCGGGCCGGGCCGGGCCGGGTGGGGTGGGAGCCGATCTGACGGCACGAGAGACGAGCCGATCTGCCGCCGCCGGCGCCCGTCACCCAGACGACCCGCGCCCTCCCTCCTTCCGCATGCCGCCAGACTTTCGCCGGGCGGCGGTGGCTGAGGCGGTAGGTGAGACGGCGGTGGCGGCGGCTGGGACCAGTTGGCGTCAGGCTCGAGGAATGCTCGCTCCCAGTCGGCAGCTGCTGACTCGCAGCTCGCGCCGCTGCGCTTACGTGTCAATTACGACTTGCAACGAGAACCGCTCGGCACGCGGCGGCTTGCGTAAGGTGCGTGCGCGCGCGCGTCGCGCCCCCCTATCGCGCATTGACCTTGAGGGGCGGCCTTCGCCGCCGCCGCCGGCCGGCCGGCGAGTGGTAACACGGCTGGCCGCGAGCGGCGGCGGCGGCGGCGCCGGGCTGAGTCGTCTGCCGCCGGCCGGCCGCGGCGCACGTCCCTCGCTCGCTCCGTCTGAGGCGGCGCGGCCGGTGAGTGACCCGTGCGCCCCTGGTGTCTGTCCGCAGATGGCCCTGTAGCTGCCGACTGGCCGCACCATGGCGAGCGGCACGCCGTCGGCGGACCCGGAGCGCGGAGGGCGGCGGCGCGCCAAGCTCTCGGAGCTCAGCAGCTTTCTGCCGAGCGTCACCACGCCGCTGCTGGGCGGCGGCGGCGAGCGGGCGCGCCGGCTGCCGCCGCTGTTTGAGCGCGCCGCGCACAGCTGGTGGGAGCCGCGCTTCGACTCGGACATCCTGGAGGGCCAGTACCGGGTGACGACGTTCCTGCGCATCAAGCGGCGCCTCCAGATCGGCGTGGCGTTCGCGCTGCTGGCGGCTGTGGTGTGGTGCGCGTACGTGGCCGTGTTCCGCGACCTGGTGCTGCTGTCGCTGCTGCTGGTGCTCGGCGCGCTGCCACTGCTCGTGGTGTTCGTCATCAGCGAGACCTCCTACTTGGAGCACCACCTGGTGGGCGTGTCGGCGGCGGCGGCCGTGGGCCTGAGCCTGCTCTCGCTGCTGCCGGCCGTGGCGCAGCTGGAGGTGTTCCCGGGCGGCCACTCGGTCACCGAGCTGCCGCTCTTCACCTGGGCCGTGGTGACGGTGACGATGGTGTACACCATGCTGCCGCTGCCGCTGTACGTCTCGGCGCTGATGGCCGGCGCCTACTCGGTGACACTGGAGGCGCTGACGGCTGCCGGCGGCGAGAGCAGCACCGTGGCGCACATCGCCATCCGCGCCGGACTCCACCTGTGCCTCCATCTGATCGGGCTGCGTACACTGGTGCTGGCACAGGCCCACATGCGCAGCACCTTCATGACGGTGGGCCAGACGCTGCTGACGCGCCAGCAGCTGGAGCTGGAGAAGCAGCTGAAGGAGAAGATGATCCACCTGGTGATGCCGCCGGTGGTGGCTGGCTGGGCGCAGGACCGTATGACGGATGAGCGCACACTGCTGGAGTCGAGCAGTCTAGGCGCCGAGCTGGCCCGGCCGCTCACCAGCCAAACCACCAGCCCTGAGATCAGCTTCAGGCCCTTCAACATGCAGTCCATGGACCCGGTGAGCATCCTGTTCGCCGACATCGTCGGCTTCACCCGCATGTCGAGCAACAAGTCGGCCGAGCAGCTGGTCGGTCTGTTGAACGATCTCTTCGGTCGGTTCGACGAGCTGTGCACCCGACACGGCTGTGAGAAGATCAGTACTCTGGGGGACTGCTACTACTGCGTCTCGGGATGTCCGGAACCGCGCGACGACCACGCCATCTGCTGCGTCGAGATGGGCCTGTCGATGATCACGGCCATTCAAGAGTTCGACGAGGACAACTGTGAGGATGTGAACATGCGCGTGGGAGTGCACACGGGGCGAGTGCTGTGCGGTCTGGTGGGAACCAAGCGGTTCAAGTTTGACGTGTGGTCGAACGATGTGACGATGGCCAACAAAATGGAGTCGTCCGGTCGGCCGGGCGCGGTGCATGTGTCCGAGCGAACAGTGAAATATCTGCAGGGAAAGTACGTCGTCACGCCCGGGGAGCCGCTGTCAGGTGAGTGAATGCCCGGTGTCCTGCCGGCTCGGGGCTCGGCGGCATCTGATGAGCTGATCTTGAGGGTGGGGAAGAGAGGGAACCGATCCTAGTAGAAGGGGAAGACAAGCTGGCATTCCCAGCCTGTCCCGTGTACGCTAGAGGAATTATCATTGGGGAGGGTCACACCAGGTAACGGTCATTGGTCAGCATCGCTGACCGAAAGGGGAGGCATCGGTGCACGGTGAAGTTTCAGCTTTTCGGGAACGCATTTTATTCAGCACAAACATGCCTAATTCTCTTCTACATTGGTGCCAGTTTTAATTCGAGGGGTAAGCTAGGAGTACAATTGATGAGTGGAAAGGGCTTCCGATGCAAATTTTCCTTACTAGTCCGTTAGATAAGTTTGATCCGTTAGATAATTTGCTGTCCCATTCAAGTGGGATTTTCTTTCACCACTTCTAAAATTGACCAGTGTTTCAAACACGCTGGCAATATGTTCATTATTTCCCTTCCTTATGGACATGACAGCTGTCGATCAGGCTACTTATCGGGTGGCTTGTGTGTCACCTGTCAATATGCATTGATTATCTACGCACGCACACTTGTGTGATGGGCCCGGCCGATTCCCACGCCTGTCGTGATTCCCGCATCATCAGAGGTACGTCAAATGAGTCTCTTAGTGACGTGCATCACAGTGTTGCCCCTCACGATTAGCCGGAAATTCTGCACCCATCATAATCATTCGTTTTATTTACTCATTTATAACAGAGCGCGAATATTTCAGGCCTGTCCCGTAGCTCAGTTGGTAGAGCATTGGACTCCCGGTAGTGAGAGCCCGGGTTCGAGACGCTCCGGCGCTCGATATTTGAGACTCCTGACGGGGATGGTCTGCGGTTGGTGGGAGCAGCCGCAGCCAGTTGAAGTCAGTGGAGTGGGACAGGCCGTGTCCGGCTTTGAAGGGCACGTTAAACTTTGGCATCTAAATTCTCCCGTTACCCGGAATTGCGCGATCGGACGGTAGGGGTCGGGGTCTACGCAACAAGCTCTGCTTAGCGTGGACTCCGGCTCTGTCAATCCGTCCATTCAAACATTCGAGCTAAATTTATAAAAAAAAAATCACGTCCTCCGGTTTGCTGTATCTGGCGTCTGCCGCTCTTATCTGGGCGCTCGTAGCGGGAGTGTGTTTATTCCCTGGCCGCGCTCCGTTGTGCTCGTTCTCGGCTGTGTATCGCCGCGGCACCTTGGCACGTCCGCTCCCCGTGATCGTGAAGGTCGCCGGCGCGTGACCCGCGCCTCGTCGGGCGACTCTCCGGGCTCTCCGGGCGACTCGCCCGCTCTTGAGTGCGTCCTCCCACGCTACTATAGAGCAGTGGTGCGGACTGGGCCCTGGGGTGGGGTCGGTCTGAACGACTGAAGATCAGTGGATGGGATGGGGAGAAGTTAATGGGGTGGCTCATTTAAACAGCTGATGTAACGGGGTCATATGAGGGGCTCCACATTCAAGGTTTTCTAGCTACGCCGTTATTCTCGAGGATAGGCCGATGCGGAACTTGAAAATCGAGGGAACTTTCAACTTCCTTTCTAAAATCGGTGGCTGGCTTAAAGACGATTGGATCCCTGGCCTGATGCTCAGTTTATATACAAGTTTCCCAGAGACACTCAAATTTAGCAAATCTGAATCAATTGGCCTCGCTTTGACGACTCTATGCACCAGCATTCAGATATGTTCCGTACACTCTGCCTTGTATGTATATGTTAAATTTCTTTGGTTGCTAGCTCTGACATTTCCTAGATCTATGAGATTACTGCACGGTCAGCTCAGAACATTTGGCGGCCGTTTAAAATCTCGAGATCATCAATCAAGTAATTCGCGTTTATGGTATTAGCGGCATCCCAGCGCCGCTCTATCCCTTCAGAAATTCGTAGTTATTTAGCGTGGCCGGCGTAAAATACTCCTGTCCCTCTCTAGTTATATTGTGTCCGACTTTGAGCTCAGACGGCGGACGTTTATTTAAACTCATGCTCATTGACGTTTAGCTTATTATTGAGGTAGAAGGATCCGTTCCTAAAAAAAAATCTGGATAGGTACTTTTACAAATGTTTCTCCTATATAAAAACAGCACTAATGCAGAGACAATTGAAATAATAATGATGATGATGCTTATGATTTATGGGTATCCAAACGTCTATGCTTATGGCGTCCACATGCAGAAGTAAATCCGAGTGTTTTTTTTTCTCTTTTAACTTGCTACCTAAGTTGTTACCTACCGCTTCTAATATCCAATGCACATTGATCGTGATAAAAATCTAACAAGATACGTCCATGAAAATATTGAATGTGACTATGTAACGCGCATGTTTGTGGATTCACATATTTCGTACAGACATGAATCAACCTTATCAGCTGGATTGAGATCCTCGTTATCAACAATAACCTGCCTTTAGCGACTAAAAAGAATGCATTATAAGTACGAGCATGATACCTTGGGAGAATCCATTGTTCCATGTTGTTCGTCGTAATAGTTTTCCTTTATCGTTGCTGTGGGATGGACAAACCAAATAGAGTTCTAAGCTCGTTCAAGCGGGATTGGATAAGTTTATTCTGACTCAATTTGGTTCGGAGCACACCCGATGACCTGTCTGGACCGAACTGTGCGGTGAGGTCAGCTCGTATTCTCATTAGACCGTGGGCTCTGTACCGTGTGGCACAGACCTGTCTGCGGTACAGACGGTGCACTCGCAACAAAGCTCTTCTGTTTAGTGTATCGCTGAGCAACGTCTCTGTTCCAAACTTTTATATTCAATGCAACATTGCACTGAGGCAGATTAACATGTGTTATTCCTTTTAGTTAAACGGTTATTTATGCATGACCGACCATGTGGCAGAGAATGCGTAAATAAATCGACAGAAACGTTCGTGTAACATTTTTCGGGAAACTATTCTTTTTCGACAAAAGGGACGATCCAACGGCAAGAAGAGTGTCCACACAAAAGATAATTGCCTGAGTTACATGCTGGGACATCTCAGGAACCTCCCATTACTCCTAATCACATCGCTATCTCTATGGTGTCCAAACATCACCAAAACCAGTCGCGCGGTGAGTGTACTCGTGCATACAGCAATAACTTTTATCTTGCAATCACATGTGTTTACAAGATCTGCTCAAGCATCTTCTGCCGTGGCCATGTGGTGGTGTGGTCAGCAATGTTTGGTGTTCGTGTACTGAGTTCAAAGGACACTGGTGACTACTATGCATTTCAGACCCCATGAGACCCTGTTTTTCGGCGATAATTTCTTCAATTTTTGTCCAATTAGCTTGAAATTTTGGCAGACCATATTTCAGCTCAAGCGCCAATTTTTGTCAATATGGTCTCTTAACAAAATATCAAAATTTAGAGCACTTGTCGTTGGCTCGTAATGTTAATCAGTTTTTGCACCCGGATAGAGGCTCGCTCGTTGTCGCACCGGATTGGATAGGAGCGCTGGCCAATCACGTTACGCCGTGCTAAACTTGACTCCGCCCACCGGCCGTGACCGCGATGGGTCTATGCCGCTTCAGTCGGTGTCAGCACCGCGGAGAGGTCGCAGCAGGACCACATAATGGATACAAGTTAAGCTGGCAACGTTGTTTCGGGACGAAAGCCAAAAAATTATCCGTTCGAGGGCATTTGGTGTCCTCTTCTCCTTATTTTGGTATTTAAACGTCGAACCAGCTCAGAATATTCAGAATGATCAGAATCAAAGCTAGGATCTATTGGAACGGAACCGGCCGTAGAAGGAAAGATAGATGGACTCTTGAACTCTGAATATTTATTTAAGCCGGAGTTGCACATATCTCATCGTCAGGTTGGGTCAGGTCACTACCCGATTACCTATAAGATCATGCGTAAGCCTCTGCATGACCAAAAAAGTATTGATATATTTGGCACCGTCAATAGATGTTTCTGAGGAAGGCGCAGAAAGCAACAGGGTAAGATGGGTAGGAATCGGTCTCGGGTACGGCCGATTGCCTGGGGCATCGCTCCAGCGAGACGACCGTATTCGTGATTCGTGAAGCGGTGCGGGGCGCCGGGTGGGGCAGAAGCGTAATGTGTCGTATGGTAGAATGTCATGTGTGTGTGTTGTATTGTTAAGGCGTGCACAGAAAGAAATAGGAATGTGGCAGGCGGACGTTGGGCACTACACGAGAACGATCATCAAGAAACACAAAACTTTTTTTTTTGTTTGCAAAACTTATGTAGCAGTAGGTATGTCCTCAATGGTGAGGTAACTATCTCTATTCTCTACAGGGTGTAACGAAATTATCCGGACATCTATTTTTTCGCCATATCTGCTCGCACAGTTTCTCTTTTAATGTCAGAAGCTGGAAAATTGGATGAATGCATACCTCTGGTATCTGCTCTCAACTCAGCAGTGACTTGACCTTGCGAAATGACTCTTGCTCTGAGTAAGAGTCGAGTCGCCGACGGGTTCATTTGATAGTTTTCGTTTAAGGCAGTGGAGAGAAAGGAGTACAGTCTCTCGTTTCGTAGTAAGGCTACGTGTTGGTGGCATGGTGGCATGAGCCAGAAGCTGGTCTGTCAGCAGCTGGACATCAGCAGCAGCCAGTAGCACATCTGCCTGAGGCGTAATAAGCTGGGACTTGGTGGCAGACTCAGCCCGGCCTCGATCGCAAAAGGCGCCCTTTGCCAAGTGGTGAGGAGAGTTGTCAAGATAGCGACAAGGAAACGGCACCAATTAATCCGCATACCGACACGAATTCTTACCAAGGCAGATAATAAGAGGTCCCACATCATGATTCACCGTTACCCGCCCTTTAGCTTGGTTTTACTGCCCTTCAAACTGGAAAAGACAATGAAATTGACGGGAAAACAACCAGTCCACCACCTTTGGCTTCAGGCCAGGGCGTGTCCACTGGTCGAAGGAAGACACGAATGAGGTGACCTGGTCGGATGGGAAGCTGTTCGAGCTGCGATACCCGTTGAACCGTCAAATCGGCCATGTGTGGGCTGCCAGC